CGCACTCTGCCCTCTCGCGGCATATTTTGGCCCCTCGAGTTTATCGAGCTCTCCTCGCGCAAGGACGACTCTTCTGACGCCCACTGCGATCATTGGAAGATTTTTCTTTCATCTCCCTCAGGTGTATTCTTTTTTTGCTTGGGGCGGCCAGCATGATGAAATTCTGGAAAAACCTGACCGGCCCCTGCCCTGCCCCTACCTACCTACCTACCTCCCTCCCTCTCCCTCCCTCTCTCTCTCATGTGTGTGTGTGTGCGCCAGGCGGCCATGCTGCGGCTCGGCGGGTACGAGGTGGACACACTCACCGACGAGCAGCGGGCCTCGATCGAGCAGATGCTGCTCGACCTCGCGGCGTGGGTGGACCAGCGGAAGACGGGCGCGATCAAGTACATCGACTTCATCGACGCGTTCCGGATCCTCGAGGAGCCTCAGGACGCGTCGACCGAAGCCGTGCCCGGGGCGATCCGCCGGAGAGATTCGGCGCGCACACCCTCGCCCGACTCCCTCGCCCGCCGCATGCAACAACCCCCCCCCCCCCCTTCCCCTTGCTCTCGCCCGCCCCACGAAACGGCCGCCGCCGCAGGAGTCGCTGGGGCTGTCGCTCATCAGTCAGATGATGGAGCAGCTGTGCTCCCTCTTCTACCAGCACCGCTGGTCGCTGCAGCGCGCCTTTGAGTACTTTGACGCAAACGGCGACGGCGTCCTCACGCCAGAGGAGTTTGGCACCGCGTTGCGCGCGCTCTCGGAGCTCTCCAAGGCGGCGGACCCGAGACGCGAAGCACATAGCCCCGCGCTCTACTCTAGCGGCCGGCAGTCGTGCGGCCGTATTCGACTGTGTTGCAGCCGCGCACACTGCACCGGTCGCCTCTTGTCTCGCGCGGGGCGCAGGTGCAGCGCAGGTGCAGCTGTCCTCGCCCCCGGACGCCCGCCGTTGTTCTCGGTTCTCAGGCGTCGGACGTGTCCTTCTCGCTCGACTTGGACGAGAGGCAGCTCGGCCGCCTCGTGCAAGCGCTCGACCGCGACGGCGACGGCCTCATCAACTACGACGAGTTCCTGACCGCCCTGGAGATGCGCGACGTCATGGAGTTGTAGTGGGAGGCGTGCTGCAGAGGTCGAGAATCGGCATGCTGGCACTTGGCCGTGCGCAGCCTAGGCTCAAGCGCGGCGTGGGTGCACGGGCAAGGATCAAGCATGCGGGCGGCGGATGGGATGGGCGGGGGGGTGGAGGAGGGCACTCGCGTGAACACTTGTGCGCTTGTGGGACGGCGGGCCGGGGCGCGGGGGCGCGGGGTTCGTCCGGCCTTAGAGACGAGAGAAGAAGAGGGAGACGCGGCCCTGGCGGATGGCGCATTATCTTCATTGACAGAGCACCGTAACGCATAGAGTATCAATCAGAACACAGGCCTGCAGGGCCAGGGCGCAGAGGGCAGGGGGCGCGGCCGCCCGGGCACCGAAAGCCAAAGAATGGCGTCTGGGGGGGGGACCCCCCCATCTTTGTTTACCGAATGCGTCTCTCTGGATTAGAGTGCGTCTAGTAGGCGTCCTACTTAGACGCTCGCTGTCCCTGGACCCTGGTATGCTCGAGCATCCTAAGATGCGCGAGTCCATATTAGTTGCTCCGCGCATCCCGAATTGCTCGCGGCATCTCTCCGATTGGCGTTGCTGTCTCAAAAGACGCGCCGTGCATACTGTGAACAGCGCGTGTCTCAGAAGACGCGCGCATATTTTGAACAGCGCGTGTCTCAACAAAACTCAAGAGATACAAGAGAAGTACACGCACGTTACAAAAGAAAACAAAAGGTCGCGGTGTGGCGAGCGCTGCGCGGCGGGCCGTGCCCCCGGCTGTGCGCCGCGGCCACTGCACTACTAGACGCCAATCCCACAGTCGGTGAGGTCTAAGTTGGTCAACACCGCCTTGCCCGACTTGAGCGCCTCGGCGATGGCGGCGGCGCCCGTTGGGCCGAGGTTGTTAGTGCGGAGATTGAGGTCGGTCAAGACCCCGCTGAAACGTAAAAAGAAATCGTGCCACTAGCAACAGAGTAATAATTCGCGACTCAAGCGCTAGAAAACAACCCAGTCTAATTTTCCAGACTTCACACTCACACTACGGGCAGGAGCCCCACGGCATTCAAAGTGCAAGCACCGGCCCGGTGCCGTGGGTGAGCAACCAACCTGCACCCCACTCGCTCCCTCCCAGACACAACCCGCACACAACCCCCACAGCGTGGACGACTGAGCTTGGCTCGCTGCGCGACATTGAGAAGGGGCCCGAAGGCAGGGAAGAGTCTTCCGCCTCGCGACACGAGGCTTGAAAGAAACTTCTCACACCACACTCGTACACACACACTCGTACATTCTCACTCGACCTCGCCGCACCGGCCCCCCCCCGGCCAGGACCCCTCATCCCCACCCCGCTCAGTCCTCTCTCCCGTTCGCTTTCCGCTGGTTCGGCGACGGGTGCGGAGCCCGCCTCCCCCTCTTCTGCTTCTTCGGCCGTGGCCCCGCCGCTGCGTGACAGGCAGTCGCTGAGTTGAGCGGCTTGTCAGCGGGCAAAGCAAATCCGCAACTTTTGTGGCCTTCTGATGTCGTTTCCGGCCGGTCGCGAATTGGCGGCCACCAGTGGTTGCAACCGACTCCGCGTATAAAGCGGTAAACCCGCTTGAACGCTCAGCCGGCGAAGGCGCCCGGGAGAGGGGGGGAAGGGGGAGGGAAGCTAGAGAGGAAGGAAACGTAGATAGATAGAGAAACACGGAAAGGAAACGAGCGAGACGGGGTTTGGCTGCATACATACATACATGTTTCCTCGCTCACCCCGTCTCGTTTCCTTTCCGTGTTTCTCTACAGCACCCTCTCGTTTCCTCTTTAGTTCCCCGAGGAAACTCCGTGGAAATAAGCTGGTTTGGGCCCAAACAAAATCAGCCAAATCGGCAAAATACCGGGTATTTTGCGGGCATACCTTGAGCACTTGAGCACTGGATAGGGTCGATTCCGCGTGGTACGGGACCCCTCGACCGTCTCGCCCTCCCTCACTGGTGTGTTCATTGGGGGGGGTCATAACAAACGCGGTAACAGGATCGAGGTGCACGCTGCTCGCTGCAGAAGCAGTGTCGTCCCCCCTCTCTCCATCATCTCACACTGAGACGTCGGCGGCGATGGCGGTGTGACCGATCGAGCTACAAGAGGAGCTTGTTCAGCAGGATCCAGGCAATCCGACGCACTACCCTCCAACGGTCCAGCCGGGCCTGATAGCTCCCTGGAAAATCCCGGGTATACCTGGTTCTCGAGGTTCTCGAGGTGGATATCCTTTTTGTTTCGTACGTTCATGAAAGAGAGATCTCTTTCATGAATGTACGAAACGAACAGAAAGGCTCTAACACTCACGCGTCATTTGGGGCCTGGAGCCCTGTTCACGCGCGCGCAAGACGTGCAGACAGGGTTGCCAGGTGAGAGCGAATGGCGCGGTTCACGCCTCGCACAACAGAGAGAGAGATGCGCTCTGCATGGTGGGACATAAAAGAGAGCGAGTACTTGGGCGAGTAGGCCGTGCGGTCGACGCTGCCGCGCGCGACTTTGCGCGCGAGGCGGCGCAGCTTGAGAACGGCGGTGGGCGAGAAGCCGCCGCCGAACGTCTCGTGGTATTGCTAAAAGTCTCTCTCTCAGAAGGCACGCGCATATGCTCTTCTGGTGTAGGTTTGTTGTTGGCAAATCAAGACACAGACAGAGCTCACACAGAATCACTTGGAGCACTTGGAGTGCAGTCATCAACCTCACATCCAGGGCCGGGGAGCTGAGAAGCGCACCCAGCGAGCCGGATGATCGGCATCGGGCTACGGGCTAGAGAGCCCTGACCCCTAGCTAGGGGGGGTGCGCATTCGCAGGGGCCAGGGCAAGGGCCTTAAAGTAAACACGGGTCTCCGAGGGTTGGTTCTGCGCTTTGGGTGTCCCCTAGCGGCGGAACGCCCCCTCTACTCGGAGCTAGTAAACACCAGACACTAGACTAACATGTTTTCTTTCTTTTTCTACTCGGAGCCAGTGAGACGTGGCCACATGACACGCACACAAAAAGAAAGAAAGAAAACAGACAACCCAAGGGAGGGATGGCACACAGAAAGAAAGAAAGAACACAGACAACCCAAGGGAGGGATGGGAGGACGGCACGCCGCCACCACACAGGGATTTTAAGGAGAGGGGTGTGATGCGCTAGCCGTCGCCCACCCTAGGGAGTCTGCCTCTTCCTATCTCTTTTCGCAGCCTCTCGCCGCTTCTCGCTGCAACCTTCATGCCACCTAGGGATGGCACACACTCACACCGCACCCACCCCGCCCGGCCTTTTTTTGAGCTTAGGGGTGTTGCGGCGCTTGGTTTCCGTCGCGGCGGCTTCGGTGCGTCGCCGTTCCCCGCACCGGATTGAGGGCGCCGCCGCGGGTATGGTCAACTCCTGCGGCGAGGATCCTGCGGCCGCAGGAGTTGGAGTTGACGGTGGCGGCAGCGGTTGCCCCGGCTCAAGCGCCACCGCCGTCAGCACTGCCGCAGCGCAGCAGCTCGCCGCGCAGGAGGACTTGCTTGAGCTACCTCCTGGCTCTCTGCGGACGCCGCGTGGCGCACCGGTCGAGTTTGCGAGGCTCAAGGACCTGAGGTGCGCATCGCACCAAGCCGACAGCCCGCCTCTGCCAACCGCGAGAGGCCGCCAACCCTCCTCCGCGCCTCGGCCTCATCGCCTCGTGCCGTGCCGTGCTTCCATAGGGAGAAGGGGGCGGGCGAGTTCTGCAAGGTGTGCGAGGGGAGCCTCGATGTCGATGGCGCCGACTCGCGCCCTCTCCGCGCCACCGAGACGCTCTACCGGATCACCAGCGGCGTGTGTGAGTAGGGACGGGGTTGCGCCGAGTCGCCGTTAAGATGCTCAAGCCAAAGTACGAGGTGAGCGTGCTCCTGTGCACCCCCCCCCCCCCACGGCCACTACCGCCACCGCCAAAGCCCTCCCTCCGCTCGCCGCCCCACTCTCCCTCTCCCGCTCGCTCGCCGCTGCCCCCGCCCTCACCTCCGAGAACAAGTAGACGACACAACAGCGCGCGGGCCTCTGAAGCTGCCGCCGCCTCTGCAGGCGTCGGTGGTGCCACTCGGCGACCTTCGGCGGGAGATCTCGCTCCTGTCTCAGATGTCGCACCCGCACATCGTCGGCTTCGTCGCCCACGGCGCCTAATCTCGCCTCACCTCGCGATATCTCCCTCCCTCCCTCGCTCCCTCGCTCCCTCCCTCCCTCCGTCCCTCCCTCCGTCCCTCGCTCGGTGCCTCTCGGCGCGCCTCCGTCCCTCCGCCCCGCCCCTTCGTCCGCCGGCCGCGCGCCGCGCCCTCCCCGTCGCCGTCGGTCTCCCGCCCGGTCTCCTCGGCGCTCTCTGCCGTAGGTTGCGCACCGCGCCGCGGGTGGCCGTTTGGTTGCTTTGCCCGCTTCGCCCGCCCTCTCAGCTTTCTGCTTCCGACTAAGTCAGACACCGGCAAGGGCGCGCGGTCTGGACCTCTCTTCCCT